GCCTGTAATCCTAGCACTCTGGGAGGCCGAGGCGGGCGGATTGTTTGAGCTCAGGAATTCGAGACCAGCCTGAGCAAGAGCGAGACCCCGTCTCTACTAAAAAAATAGAAAGAAATTATCTGGACAACTAAAAATATATAGAAAAAATTAGCCGGGCATGGTGGCGCATGCCTGTAGTCCCAGCTACTTGGGAGGCTGAGGCAGTAGGATCACTTGAGCCCAGGAGTTTGAGGTTGCTGTGAGCTAGGCTAACGCCACAGCACTCACTCTCGCCAGGACAACAGAGTGAGACTCTGTCTCAAAAAAAAAAAAAAAGAAGGGCGTCGTCAACTGTAAAATATTGCTGAGAGTTGAAATAAATTAGAGCAAAGACACAACTGGATCTGCCAAGATGGGTATTGCTGGTGTCTTTGAAAGGCTTGATCTGGGCACGTGGAGGGGACAGACGCTTGTTTGAAGATGGGGAGGAGTAAGGTTGAAGTGAGGAAGGACAGGTTGTGACTATTTCAAGGAACATTCCCAGAGGGGAAGCAGAGAGATGACTGGAGCTCTAGAGCAGTGTTGTCCAATTCCGCATCCTCTAGCCACAATAAAAATGTAAATTTAAGTTAATTAAAATGGAAGAAAACTAGAAATTCAGTTCCTCAAAGTGCTCAATGGTCACAACTTGTGACTCGTGGCTACTCATCTGGGCAGAGCAGATGGAGCACACTTCTATCGTTGCAGAAAGTTCTATCGGACAAGCCTGCTTTAGAAGATGTAGAGTTGAGGAAGGTTTTTAATTTTTTTGTTTGGTTTGGTTGTTGTTAACTTTTAATATGAGAGATGCCAGACATAGCAGTGGTCAAGTAGAAACTGGAGGTGCAGCTTCCTCCATGGACTTCTTTTTCATTACCTCCCTTCACATACCGGTGTGCCACCATGACCTTTGCTCTTATTCTACCCATCCTCCCTTGACAACCTCATCCGGGCTCATGATCAACTGTCACCTACATTCCTACATTTGGTGGCTTCCATGACCATGTCTCTCTCCTGAGCTGGGGTCCATGCCAACTTAGAAGTCCCACTGCAACCTCAAACACAGTATGCCCCAAACGCCCTTCCTCCTGGTCCTACGCCTGCAGAAACTCTGTGAATTCTGTCTGCTTGTCCAGGCCAGCAATGTGGGTGTTGTTTTGAACTCCTCTTTCTTCTTCACTCTTTGTATTTGGTCAGTCATTAAGCTGCTGATTACCTTTGTGAACACAGTTAGAATTGGACTCCCCTCCCTGCTGTCTTCACTGATTTATTTAAACTCTTGCTTGGACTGTAGGGGACATTGGATTAGCTGGTAGAATACTCATACCCACCCCCTCTCCCAGGCTGGCCTCTATAGACGATATTGTGATTAGGGCGTAGATCTTTGTAAATAACTTGTTTGGACTTACTGAGACATACATTTCTGAGCTGGCTTGGATCTAGGAGACAATCCGGTCCAAGTCCTTCATTTTGAGTGAGATGAAGTGACCCACTGAAGCTCACCTGGTCCGAGCTTTGCCAGGGTACCATCTTGTTTCATATTATTTTGAACTCTGGCTATGTGACAAGTGGTGAATAAGGACAATCACCCAGCTAGGCAATGAGCAAGAGAGAATGACAGCCTGGAATGACAATGTCATCTGTTTTTGCATCACCTGTGTGCTAACAGCCCATCCTGACCATGACGGTGGAGATGACTCCTGCAATTCACCTGGCCTTACGTCAGCAGGGATTTGCAGAGCTCATCCAATACACTCCTTGCCTCCTGATAACTAATGCCTGATTCACTCCAGAAAGATGCCTAGCCTATTTTTAAAAAAATGCTCCAGGAATCCTAAAACCTTTTCTAGCTTCTGTCTCTTTCTGATTTTAGCCAGAGTTCCCTCCTGGTACATGTTTATTTTTTCCCTCCATTTTAAAAGCACATAACTGTAGAACAGCATGTAGCCTTCTGAACCACACAGCAAAAGAAAGTTAAAGGAAGCAAAGAGAAGTAAACTATGTGGTCACGGGCAGCAAGAGATGGATGATAAAGAGGACGCTGGGTTTGGGGATACACATGCTGGAAACAGCTGGTTCAGCCTTCACCAAAACAAAAACACATCTGTGATGATCTCTTTCTTTTCAAATTCCAGGAAACGTGGCGTGGGTGAAGTTGAGTCACCTGGAGGGTGTGCCAAAGCCTGGTTGTGACTTTGGACTTTCATATGCAGCAAGCTCGCCTCTATTTTCTCGCAGAGCTGAGTTGCGTGAGCTCCTGGCTCCCAACCCTCTCTGCATCCACCTCTTTGAGGAGGAAGAAGTAAGACCAGAAGATAATACTGTCGTTTATTGAGTAGCTACACTGGGTCGGGAACTGAGCTTTGCACATTTTATATCACCTATTCATCCCAACCATCTTGAATGGACGATATTATTTTCCCCATTTTATAGACGAAGACTCCGAGGTTCAGAAAGGTAAAGTGACATCCCCAGGTTCCTGTGGGAAGCGAGGAAGGTTGAATTTGAGCCCAGATCTAAATGCTCCATCCACACCCACATGAAGAAAAGAGCGCAGAAACGTTCCATCTGCATTCGTCCTTGGACTCTGATGGAGATGGATGTGATGTCTCCTGCTCATCCCGTGGCCCCTCCTCCAGCCTGTGAGATCACAGCCTCGCATGCAGACAGTATGGTCCTTCTTGGCCTACACGTGCAGTCATGGGCCAGAGGGTGGGGACTCATCTCACACACTCTCACACCCTGCAGACTCTTCCATCCACACCTCCAGCTCGAACCCAGGACATCAACGAGGGCCCGCTCTCCAGTCTTTCTCCTGCCCTTCCGCTGTGAAACAAGCACCAGCTTGCACCCCTGCAACACCCCAGCCTACAGTGTGTCCTCTGCCACACCACACGTCCCACTGCAGAGGGAGGCACATGAGGGGTGAGCAGGGCTATCCCCTGCCCTCTGTGTGAGATGGCACGTAGTCCTGCCCTACGGTCAGAGTGCCTTTGCCCCAGGTGGCACAGGAGTGGTGATTCAAAGGAGCAGCTGTCAACACATCTGAGGGCACAGACCCTGCTGTGCCAGGCTGGGAGAGGCCAGCTCCTGTGTTTGGTGGTTTGTGGTTGGTGGTTTTTGCCCAGCGGCAGCCAGGCTATGGCAGCGGGTAGCAGAGGTCCAAGCCAAGTGGGAGTAGAGCTGTTGCTTTGGTTTTTAAAATCAAATGAATGGCCTATACAAGCTTCAACTCAAATTTCTCTGAAAAGGGATAAGGGCAACTCTGAGGCCACTCTCACCTCCCACCCAGTCCCCTGAGGCTGGGTACACTGCAGTCCCGCGTGGACACAAGGATGGACACGATTGCCGCAGGTGGGTCTGGTGCCACTTCCAGGGAGATGGATGTCCTCACAGGATCCTCTGGCCCCTCTTCAAAGTGAGGATGTCCGAGTTTGGATTTATTATTCTAATCCTGAAGCCCAAAGACCATGCTTGGAGCAGAGTATGCTCTTTGAAAGATGAGGATGTGGAAAAGCATAATATTTTTAAACAGCAAGGGAAGAGGGTCTCTCAGATTAGGAAAGCCAGGGAAATGGGCATTCCACTAGGATGAGGATGTGAGGTGGGCAGGAGGAGGCTGTACATAGCCCTGTTTTGTCTGGGGGAGAAACGTCTTTTGCCAGGGTGTGGGGACACAGCGGGGTGTACTCCTGACCAACCTGTGGTGCTCAGCCTTGTGTTGCTGCCAGAGCCCCAGATTCCTACCATGCTTTACAGTTTTACTTGTAGCCATTTCCTGGTTTCCCTACTAATCAGGGCAATTGATGAGTAAAGAATAAGATGATCTTTCCTCAGGTTACATTCCTGAAATAAACACATGAAGCTGCTCAACAAAATACAGCACGTCGGATTGGTCCTCCAGACGGCGGTCTTCCCTCTTTCTGGGAGTCTGTAATAAGACACAGCCCAGCCAGCTGTGGGGCCCCATCAGCCCTCATGGGCCAGGTCCTCACTCAGTGCCAGGAAGGAGGCCCCAGGGTTTTGGGTGTGTGAGCAAATGTACATAGAAACTGCCGCACCCACACCCCACATACCATGACAGGGTGGAGCCGTCTATTGTCCTTGCCTTACCTTCTCGTCATTTCCAGAAATTCTGTGTCTTGATGGTGTTGAATCATGAGGACATGGCCCAGAAATGCTCAGCAGACCCTAGACGACACCTTTCCAACAGTCCCTGGGCATCCTGGACTCCACCCAGGTCGCAGCCATGAATGAGATTTATTTCCTAAGGGGAAGTGGGGCCATGTCTAGCCAAGTCTAAGCTCCAAGCTTGTACCCACAAGCCCACACCACCCACCCACAATACCCTCTTTTGACATTTGCTCAAGTTGCACAAACTTGGTCAGGGAATTTGGGGTGGAGGTGTGCTGGTTGATAATGAGTTCCTTACAGCTGCTTTCCATAATAAAATTTAAAAACACAGCACCAGATGTCGTTATCCTGGATAATTTTTGGTCTCTGATGCTTCAGAGGACACGTGAGGGTCCTGAAGGGACACGGGTGGAGGCTTCGACAGTGACTATGGGCCCTTGGGTGCTGCGTGGGTGTCCGAGAGCCTGGCTGAGGGCAGGCAGCAGACGCAGCCCGCAGCGGGGATCAGGAGCTCCGGGTTCTGGTCTCAGCTCTGTCACTAAATGGTGGGCTGACCCTGGGTGAGTCACTTCCCTCCTCCAACATGGCTGAGCCGGAGCTCCTCTGAGGTCCCTCCCAGCTCTGAGACTCTAGGAAGAACCGGCCAGGAAGGTATTGTGGTGGTTTTCCACCACTGGAACCGAGGACATTTAAAAACTCCCACCAATAGCGTGGACACGGTCTCAAACAGTTCTTTGGTATTCATGAAGCCCCTGGGCTGGGGCTCCCATCCCAGCCCCGGGGGCCGCCACGTGCAGACCGAGACAGGCAGATGGAGAGCAGGAGGAACAGGAGTACCAGCGTCAGGGACCACAACACGGTTTTTATTGGATTTATCAAGACCGTAGACAGGGACTCTCCGCAGCAGAGGTGGAGGCGACAGCGTGTGGTCACTTATCCTGCCTCCTCAGGCCGGAGAAGGCTGTTCTGCTATCAGTCAACCGAGAGGTTTAGTGACAAGGATGTGTCCTATCCTCGGGACCATGACACCATGAAGGCAGTGGGTGAGGAGATAACAAACCAACTCCTCTTGGCCCCAGGCTTTGTCCAGAGGTCGGAACCGAGAAGGGGAGCTGGCGAGGTGTGAGCCAGTCTCTGGCCACCGCGGGGACTCTGGGAGGCCCACATTTCACGTGACCTTGCAGCTGCTGGGTGTAACTTTTTTTCAAGTCACTGCACATCCATGGTCTCATCTGGCTTTTCTTCTCAGGCTTGGCCCCCACGCAGTTCTGGCCAGGCTGAAGTCTACCCACTGCACGAAAATCTCCAGCAAGGGCAGAACTCAGCAATGACTCCTGTGTTACATAAATAGCTTCAGCGATACACACAGTCTACAACACACATGTGCGCGCGCGCACACACACACACACACACACACACACACACACACGCTTGTCCAGGCACGCAGTAGCACAACACTCCGAATATAAAAACATGCTTGGGCTCAAATCTCTCCCTCCCCTTCACCTCAGAGAGCACCTGAGCGGAGCCCACCCCTGCCCAAGCCCCGCATCGTGAGGTGGCAGAAATTCCTGAGTGGAGCCCCCGTCCCTCCTGGTGCAGCGGGGGCGGGCGGTGCCGGCAGTGCTGGTGGCCAGAGTCTACTCCTTCAGCAGTCCCAGCTTCTTCAGGGCCTCCCTTCTGTGTTCGTTGGGGACGCCCTTTGGGGAGATCTTGACACTGACACAAAGGGGTCGAGGAAGCTTGTCACGGCTCTGTCCTTGGTAGGACAGATGCTTGAAGCTCTGCTCCTGCTCCAGGTCTGCCAGCTTGCCCACCTGGATGCCTGCAAAGTCTTTCCCTGTGCCCAGGGAGGCAGGCCGGGGCCGGGAGTTACGCAATGCGCTGGGCGAGACCTCGTCCAAGAAGGAGGTCTTTTCCAGAGAAGTGCTGGTTTTGGGGCTGACGTCCTTCTCAGCCAAGAGGTAGCTGCTCAGCCCCACGCCTGAACGCTCCAGTGTGTTGGACTTGAAGCTCATCTGTCTCAGGCCAGGGATGTTGCTCTGCTGGAGAGTCAGCCCCGAGTCTGGCTTTGGATGGGTCAGGGGGCTGTTTGCCCTTGGGGCCTTAGGGATGGGAATTGGCATGGATTTGGCAGCTGCAACATTCCCTGGAGGGGTTTCCTGGGCAGAAATCAAAACTTTGCTTGGAGAAGACTCCTGAGCTAGAGCTGGAGCAGGAGCCTTCATTGGCAAAGGACCCTGAGCTGGAGCTGGAGCCGGAGGCTTCCCTGCAGCAGGGACAGCTGCTGAGACCGGAGCGGGACCTGCAGGCTGAGCCGGAGCTGGAGCAGGAGCCGAGGAAGGACCCTGAGCACGAGTCTCCTTGAGTCTGATGGAGCTGGTGGGCTTTAAGTGGAGGCCGGGCTCATCTTGGTCCTGGGGTAGCCCCAGCTTCTCCAGAGCCTCTCTGCGTGCTTTCCGCTGCTCCTGCACTGAAGAGGAGACCAGGCCGGAATCCCCAGAGGTGGCCTCAGCGTGGCGGGACAGCCAGTTCTGAGGATCACTGTGGAAGCTGCTTCGGCTGCTCTTCAGAACAATATTAGGTGGCAGCTTCCGGGGCTTAGGGGCTGTGAGGGGAGGCAGTCGGGCACGCGGGTCCTCCCCTGATGGAAGGGGAGCGTCCTCAGCTCTTGCACTCTGAGACAGCATGGCAGGAGGAGGCCCTGGTTGTCTTGGGTCCCCCTCTGAGTCTTTTTCCTTGGCTTTTTGGGACATGGCCTCTGAAGGAATCTGCTCTCTCTTCTGGGGGTTGGCTGGCGTGTGGAGCTGGGGTGTGTGGCTCTGCTGTCCTGGCCCCTCGGGCAGGTGGCCTTCCCTGCACCGTTCCAGCTGGGTGTCCCGGAAAGCCTCTGGCGGAGGGATGAGCACCACGTCCAAATCTAGGGCAGCTGCCCGGGGGCTGGCGGGTGCCCAGTGGGGCTCGGCGCCCTGGCTGGCCTGTGCTTTCTCAGGCTCTGCTGCAGGCCTCTCAGGTTCTCCAGCGACCACACGGCTGTCAGCCTGGGGGGTGCTTTTCCTGAGGTTCTGGTTTCCGCCAATGTGGATATTCCTGGGGAGGCTGTAGGAGCCAGACCTGAGGCCCAGGCTCTGGGGCTCAAGAGGGTGGGATGAGCTGGACTGAGTCACTCTCCTTGGCGCTGGTCCTTGCTGAATGACCGTCTCTTCTGGATCTCCTGTGTGGGTCAGGGAGAACAGAACAGGAGGGACAGAGGTGAGGGCGCCGCTGCAGAGGGGAAAGCAAATTCTCCCTGAACTCTGACCTCCAACTAGCAATGAACGGGTTTTGTTTCATTTTCTTTGCTTTCACAAGGGCAGAACTCTTGTCTGGATATCACTTAGACTAAAAGATCGATAATAGCAGATTCCTTTGACTGAGGATTAATTTCTCATGATGATTGGCGAGAGGGCGAACCCTGGTTGCTCCATGTCCTTGACTCAGGCTCTCCCTGACCTTCTACAGAGGCAGCAGAGTTGGGGTAGACTTGGGACAGTTCTCTCTTGCTATCTTGGGGTCCCAGGTAATGGAGCCCAGTGGAAGCATATAAACAAGTGATTTGCTCTTGCTTTGACCAGCCTTCTGCCTTCTCCTACTCTCACTTTCTATAAGCACCTGGACGATTCTGTAACAGCCATAGAGTCCCTGCACGAGTGACATGGCTTCTTTCCTTCCAGCAAGCTAGGCTGATGCCCCAGGCCCACTGGGCCAGCGTGTCAGTCTCCAGGGCAGTCTCCTCACACCCTGGGACATATGCCCCCCACTCAAGGCCACACTCGTGTCCATCCTGTCCCTTTCCACCGAGCCTGAACTCTGCTGGCTCTCCAGGCTCTCCAACAAGGGCCTGGAGGCGCGGCCCGCTGCAGCCGGGGGCCCTTCCCTCTTCTTATCTCCTGCAGCCTTGTCCTCTGTATCACTCAGATTAGTGCCCCAGACTGACTCAGTCACTCCAGAGCCAACCACCCTGTCTGCCCTGACGCCCTCCCCCACCTCTGTGGTCATATCTCTTTAGAATTTTCCACAGGAGGATGGGGGCCGCTCAATCCCCTTTCCCTCCCAGGCCTCGGCTGCTTCGTGGACAGACACAGGACGCAGGCTCGTCAGTGGTCCCTCCTTATCCCCCAGGGACAAGGCTCTCCTCCAGCCAGGAGAGTGGAGAAGAGTGCAGCTGTTCCTTCTTCTGCCTGTGACCTTTGGCGCAGAGGGCAGGCGTGGTGGAAAGGGCCAGAAGGATGCACTGATTCTCCGGGTTTTGCCAGAGGTCCTGTCCCAGGGAGTCTGCCTTACCCCGGGGAGCAGGCTGGGCTACGGGCAGTGCCCGCGATCCTCGGGGCGTTGTGGCTGGCTCAGACTCGTCAGTGGACAGTCCGCTGTCAGCCTCAGTGTCCAATGAGCCGATGGTCTCCTCCAGGAAGAGCAGACACTCCTTCTCTTCAGCAGACAGGAAGTCGTAGCTGCTGTCACTCTGTGGGGGAGGAGAGGAGGACATGAACAAGGGGAGGGAGAGGGAGCTCCCTCTGCAGAAACTGGCGGGGCCTGAGAACCACCCTGCCATGGGGAAGGAATGCTGAAGGGCTGGAAACCTCCCCTGGTGCCACTCTGCGAACCTGCTGGAGCAACTCCCCAAACCATAGGCACTAGGGAGGGCAGGACTGCCGGGCGGCTGGCCCACTAGCACCCTGCTCTGCTGCTGGCCAGGCAGAAGGCAGGGGCTTTTCTTTTGCTCAGTCCTGGGCAGAATGCTTAGGGACACAGATCAGAAGCAGTCCCAGGTTCTAATTCCATTTCCTCTGTGTGACCTTTGTCAAGCACCTCATTTGTGTGTCTCTGATTTAGCTCCAAATTATATGGGCAACATAATGATTTGACCTGAGACTTGATTGGTATTGCTTTTAGTTTTTCAAAGTACTTCTGCATACTTGATCTGGAATGTCAAGGTCAGTATGAGGACAAACAGGAAATGCAGCCAACTCCAGGCTGCCAGGCCAGTGAGAACAGTGGCATGACTAGCCACAGATAAATGCACTAAATCATTTACACTTGACTTTGAAATGCATTCCATACAGGGTTTTTCCCCTTGTAGATTTACTTTCTTGATGACATTTGGCTCTGGCTATCATTCAAACAAGTATGTACTTCTTAAGCAAATATTAGCTTAAGGGGGGAGGGTAGAGAAACTGGTCGGTATGGGGGGAGGGGAAAGTCACTGAGTAGTGTGTATTAAGTAGATATTAAAGAAGACCGCTTTCATTACAAGAGAGCACATAGGGATATTTGGAAGAAAATGCTATGGTCATCTCAGATGGTCACTGTCCATGCTCTACCAAGCCAGGAAGGTTGACGGAATAGTTGTTCTTCCAAGGAGGAGGTTGAAGGGAAAACCAAAAGGGAATATAGGAATATAAGTACTTTGGCCTGAGTCTCTTCTTGTTATCTTCATCATTCTTGTTGATATTTGGGACACTTTAGAGCTGTATATTCTTCCCACTCAGATGACCCACTCAGATGGCCAGGAAAGATCGTGAGACAACACTAAACTGTTCTGCAGGGAGGGGAGAGGGTTGCTGAATAACCCTTCCAGTTGCCTCTGCCCCTTAAAGAACCACTTGTCAGGTGACTGACTGGGGCCTACATGGCAAGGGAAGCCCCAAAGATAACCCTTTGAACCGCTGAAGCCAACTCCAAGAGTTACTTGAAGAAAGATCTTCTTTATTGCCCTCTTCCTCCTAAAATAGCCTTGCCAAGGATAAGCCAGCTCTGAATTTCTCCTTTGAAAACGATTCACTTTGCAAACCTTTAATCCCTGCTGCCTTCTGCATCCGGTGGTATGTGACTATTCATATTGGTTTAGGCCTAACAGAAACGGAAAGGTGTCTCTGAGGCCCCATCATCTAGGGTCAAAAAGAAATTATGTACGGATTGCCTGCGCTTTGGATTTGTGTGTGCGTGAGTGTGTGTGTGTTGCTGTTACTCTATTTTTACATATCAAAACCCACTGACGATATTAAACATTCTTGACATTCAGTAGAGAGCCTTATAATCCTTAAATTTTCAAATATCTCTATAGGATATAAAGCAATAAAGTGTAAATTCTCCAGGGTTCTTATGTATGCGACAAGCATGAACAATGAAGGAATGCTTACATTTGGATGCAGGGCAGATTTACTCTTTCACGGCAGCCTTACAACAACCGAGATTTAAATTCGTGCCCAGACAAATTACAATTCAACACATGCCATTCACAGATGGTTAAACACGGTATCTTTGGAAGATTCTAAGTCTCTGCTCCTAGATAGTCTGTTTCTTCTCTGCAGAGAGGCATATGCTAGCTGCTTTACCTCTATCTCATTTTCTCCCCCTCAAGAACCCTACAAATTACACGTAAATACCATCCCGGTTTGAAAATTGAAAAGACTAAAGTTTAAAGAAATTAAATAATTTGCCCAAGGTCTTACAGCTTATAAGTAGAGAAGTCAGATCTGTTGGTTCCAGAACCCAGTCTCTTAATTACTCTATTTTCTTTGATTTTTGTAAGAGACTGAAGTAGTGCTGCTCATTGCAGAGAACTTCAAGAATCCACGTTCTACAAGAATCTGCGTTCTAGTTTCCACCATGACCTCAGGTAACAGGGCTGCTCTTCCTTCTCACCTCAACCCCCAACCTAATGAAAATTGGGGGGAAAAATGTCTCATGTGTCCTATTGCTCTCCAAGGGTGCCGCACCCTATTCCCTACGGTGCCAGGGCTGACTCAGAGGCAGAAAGCGCCCATGGATGTTGTGATTCACTCCCTGATGAGGAAGATGAAAGAAGAGTTGCAGCGAGCAGGAAAGGCGGGAGGGCAGGGCAGGGCAGGTGTGCGGAAAGCAGGCCAGGCTGCGGGAGGGAGGGTACGTACAGATCCAGAGCGGGTGGAGGTGGTGCTCATCATGCTGTCGCAGCTGCCGACGCGGGTCACGGGTTCTGAGCCAGGCCCCGCTGGCCACAGCTCCCTCTCGGGCATTGCCCGAAGCAAGGTGCAGGGGTGGCAAAAGGGGCTCCCAGAGGGGAAGTGAAGGGAAGCGGAGAATGTCCCAAGCCGGGCCTGAAAAGAGAAGAATCAAAGCCACGTGTGAGCCGAGGCCCCTGCAAGGCTCTGCCCAGGCCCTGGGGCAGCGTGGCGGCAAGGACACCAAGCAAGCGGAGAGCTGGAAGGCGGCTGTGACCAGCCATCACCCGATACCCCAGCCTGCGTGGAAGGACACGTGAGCTGGCTCCAGTACGTGCAGAAGGATGGACTTAGGTGATGGAGAGCATCTCATCAGAAAGGAGCTTCTATAACTTCTCTTACATTTTTCTCTTAACCAGGGAGCTTAACCTACATTTTCATGAATATAAACAATAAATATTACAGGGGTTCATAGCTCGGGTTCTTGAATCTGGGTTCAAATATGACTTGAGGCAAATCGCTCTTTGAGTCTGTTTTTCCTCATTAAATAAGGTCAGTGTAAGGATTAAATGGAAGAACAGCACAGTTTAGTTGATGGTAAATACTCAAACACCTAATGAATAAATGAATAACTACTATTATTCTTGTAATAAGAAAAAGACAAGATCTATCTAGGATCAAACTAACCTGACTCAAGAGAAAAAAAGAGTTCAGAAAAGAAGGTTCTGGTTTAATGGGAGACTATAGATAGACTTGAGAGAAGGAATAGAGGCCTTAATCATACCCACCTCATAGCGCTGTCGAGAAAATAAAATATCGTGCTCCATGTAAAACACTCTACACAGTGCACGGCCTAGTTAGTGTCCGCTGCTATCATAGTTAACATCATCACAACCACCACCACCACGGCCATGATTATCTCCCTAGTCTGGGCAACATGAACAGGGCACCTGCAGTGGCTGACACACACCTCTTTCCTCCCTACTGCACGATCTCCTGTGTTGTTGTACATATTCCCAGCGAGGTTCCTTAGCCTGCGTCAGATAAACAAGAATACTGTCCTGTGTAGCTTCCTCCCAACTCTGACTCCTTGCGGCGGGGAGGGGGTGGGGGGGGCAGAAAAAAAGGTTTCAAGTTCGCTGTGACAATAGTAGTAGCAAAGCAAGGCAGTGTCATCTTCCCTCTGAAGTTCCCAAGGATTTTCATACGCCTGTTTGTAGAAAATACTCTACCAGAATTTGGTAGGCCAGGGGTGACTCCTCTATGTTAAAATGAAATTCTAAAGAATTAAGATTAAAAGACAGTTCCAAGGTCAAAGAGAGAGTTGGGAAGTACTGGAATTGAAATTTATCTGAGTCCCTATAACGCCACGCTATGTTTTCCACCATGTTTGCTACCCTCCTAACACTAGGTAAAAGGTTCTAGAAAAATGTGTTCTATTTGAGATCTGAGGACTTGGGGTTTGGATGCCAGGGCAGATGTCCCTCTGGCCTCTGCCAATTATTGCTTCCAGTGCCGAAGTCAGGTTTGGGCTGGGTGGGGTGAGTCAGCCTTCCCACTCTGCAGAGCTGGCAAGTACAGGCCTCGTGGAGCTCCTCTCCTGTTTGGGAGGAGTCCCTCAAGTGGGGCAGGTAGGAGGGGCAGGACACTAGGGAAAGAAAACAGAAGATCTCTAATGAGCCAGACATGTGTGGTTCATAAGGGTCCAGAACCTCTCAGGAGATAAGGAGGGGAGCAGAGGTGTAGACACACCAAAGAAGCCCGGTGATAAATCAACACCAGTGAGACAGCTCTTAGGGTGTCTTCATGAGGTTAGTTCCCCAATACCCAGAACCCCAAAGAAACGGGAACATGGGAAATCATGTGGATGAAGTTCAGTCCTCTCAGCTATCCACTCCATTAGGGACTGCGCAGGTTCAGGGAGCACTAGCCTATTCCTAACGTTCTGTAGGGTGGACACCCCTGTAGCAAAGAGGGTTCATCTCTCATAAGCCTGGACACACAGAAGGCATTCAAAAAATGCTGGATGAATGAACTTGTCATCTGTTCTAGTGTCTGTTGGGGTGAGCTTTTGGAAGGCTTCTTCTTGGTTTCTAACCTACCACTGTAAGCTTTTTTGTAGATGTTTTATTTCCCAGAGAATATATGGCTCAGCAGAATTTGGGCAATGTTCTCAGTTAAACTAACATGAACACCTAGCAGGCACTGGGGGTTCACAACTGTATCAGACAAAGGCATATTGTTATCAAGAAGTCACTATAGATCGAAGGGTCTAGTTTTTGGCTCCAGTTTTCTTATCTGTAAAATGGGGGCAGTAAATATTTAAAGTGACTCATTCTAATTAGTTTAACGTTCTGTATGAATAGATGAGCAGATACTGCCTCTTACTTTCAGAGAAAATTGCTACCCTTGTTCTTCCAAGTAGGCTTCAGACTTTATGGTGGTTTGCTAGCCCCTCCTTCCTCCCAGGGAAGCCTATGACACTGTCATTTCAGAACCTGGATGTCCTGAAGCAGGTGGAAGAGATAAAGACAATAGGACCAGCTTGCTTCCCAAGAACACAGCACACCATGGCTTACAAAGTGCCCTCTCATATGCTAATTAGATCTTCAGAATAACATGGTGACATAGGCAGGACGTGACATTTTCCTCATCTTACAGATGAGGAACCTGGGGCTCTTCCCATTGACCCTCCAGGTCATGCAGGTAGGGAACGACTCATAACCGCATACACAGGGCAGCCCTCCAGATGGCATCTCGGGGACTGCCCAGGTGCGCGAGGGTCATGTACCTAAGACGGCTCAGTGGCCACCCCTGATTAAATATTCAAAGCCACAAGATTGCCCTTCTCCTACTACTTCATACCTTAAACCCTGTAACTGAGCTCGTTCAGCTTTATACTTCCAGGCCAGTTTATTGCCCCAACAACAGGTATTTCCAGACTAAAGAAACGACACCAACAGCCATGGAAGATCATTCAACAGGTGAGCTGTAATCACGGCAGAGAGGAATCTGACCTGAAACCAAATGAGTGAGCCCACAAGTGCTGGCACCTCATCATACCTAGCTTTCTCACCCAAAGAGTCTGAATGGTAAAAAAAAAAAAAAGCTGCATTTCCTTTCACCAACTTTACCAACTTGAAACTTGGGGGTTATTTTAGTGCAGCCATTGAAACCTAGGTGTTTCTGCCTGATAAGAAGCTCGAGAAACAAGCTAAACACTCAAGGTGAGAAGTTTGGTATCTTTTAACCCTTGATCTCTTTGGAGGACTTAAGAGGAGGAGGGAATGGGGCGAGAAGTGTGTGCAGGGCCACCCACCCAAAGACACATTAAATATTAACTACTCCACAGAAACAGCCAAGCTTTGGAAGAGTGGAAATAAATAGCGTGTTTGAGTTCTGGCATCGGAAGAGGGTGTGGGGAGAGGGCGCCAGGCCCACTCCAGGCCGTCCTTCCAAACAGACCCGGGCCCTCTTGGCATCCTCCTCCCATGGGCCCACCCACAGCTTCCAAGAGCTCTCCCTCTCTGCCCACTAGTCGAAGAGGTTTCCTATTTCTCTCAGACCAGGTGTCTCTGCTTTTGTTGACTACCCAGAAATGTGCCTTAGCCTGGAGAACATGCTAAGAAAAATGCCAGGAAGACTGAAGGTTGCAATGTGTGCGTATCCCTCTCCCTGAGCACGTGGGCAAGCTTCTGTGTGTTTAGGCAACGGTATAATCTTCTCTTTCACCAGTGGGTTTGAGGGACCGGGTGGGTAGAAATACCCTCTGCACAGAAGCGCTTTGTTAGACACTGCAGGGGTCTTTATTGCTAAGCTCACCAGCTCTCGGTCAGAGAGTGTGGTGGGCTAGTTCTGTGGTGTGGGGTAAGCTCACACTTAAAGCTCCAGTTGCCAGCACTGGAAAGCCCACATATTCACCCAGGCTGTGTGTGCCAGGCCCTGGAGCCTGGCACTGAGGTCTTCCCACTTCCCTCTTCTCTGCAACAGGAGGAAAAGAGCCAAAGTTAGGGACCAGAGTGTTAACCCCCCAAGATGGATGATGGAGGGGGATTTGCTGCTCTGACTTGACACGAACAATCCACCTTCCTGATGCAGGTAAACTTGCCACACGAACCGTCAACTGGAACACCTGGAGGAAAACACTGGCCTGGTCTGGTTCTCCTTTCTCTGGATTCTGCCACACTACCTTGGTCCAAGCCCTGCTCGGAACTGTGACCACGTTTGACATGCTGCCATGAAATATTAATGTGGGTGAGGCCTGGCACAGCTGAGCAGCTTTCTGTTTGCCAGTCTCTGTATCCATTAATGGGCAGACTTGGAAAATCAATTGAGTTGAACCCAAATAAACTCGACTTTGCAGCTAGATTATCCACGAGTTTTCCAAAGATGAGCTGGTAGCTGGAGCTGGAGTTTTCCCAACATGCCCAAACCTCACACCTCCTTACAAACAACCTCGTACGGCTCACAGCTTACACACCTGTCCCCAGAGAGCTCCATTATCACACTACCATGATGGAACATACACACACTGCACCCTTTATTTAAATATAGACACTGAGTTGATAAGGCCACGGGAAAATTTCCTGTTACAAATGCAATGGAAAAAACCAAGACATTCTGCCCACCTGGGCAGTCCCCCATTTTGACTCCCTCTATTCCAACCATTCTCTTCCAAAATCACAACTCAGGTTCAATGGCTCAGAGATGGAAATTTCCAAAACAAACTTATTTTCTTTTCTTGTTTGCGCAATATGTTTATCCAACCTAAATAGGTAAATGAAAAAGAAGATGTGTCCCCGCCCTGGTCTTCCCCAAAATATTACAATCTCAAGACGCTCCACACCCGCTCTGATCAGAGAATTGAGGAACAAAGAGGAAAGCTCCCTAGCTGAGGTGCAGAGGGACCCCGCTTTCTCCCCCAAACCCTGCAGCTCTAACTTCCCATGAAGCCCCTCCTTTTGCTGCCAGATAAGCAGTAGTTGGTTAGTGATTAACTCACCTCCACTGGGTTGAGGGGCTGAAGAGAGGAAAGGAATACCCTTTTATTTCAAAGGGCAGAGACGGAGACAGAGACTGCTTCCCCTGCCTGCTCCTGTTTTCTCCTTCTTTTGACCTCCTCCTGACTTACCTAGACAGGTAAATGCTTCATCTGTGCTGCCTCACCCCCACCCAGCCACTGACTCAGCCAATCCTAGCCTCCCCTCCCTGCTTCTCATTCCAGCTGTTTCCTCCGGGAGGGTGTGGGAGGGGAATGGGCTGGGCTGTGCTGTTCTCACTCAGCCAATCACCTCTTGCCCTCCCCTTTCCCCATTACAGCTAATTAAGCAGCCCTGTTTAAAAAAGGAGGGCTGGAAGGAGGAGGGGCTGATTTGGGTTGAGACTGGAAGAAAGGAAAGGTGGTAGGAAAGGAGTAAGCTGAAGATCCTATCTTTTTTTTTTTTTAATCTTGAAATAAAAGAACACAGACAGTGCACTGGGCAGTGTGCTTTTCTATGGCTTGGTTTGAAACTTGGTTTCCCATCTAGAACTGCCTTCCTCCACTTGGAGCTAAGTATTCCCCTGAATTCTCTAAGCTAAAATCCTTCATGGCCAGGAAAACCCTTCTACTAGCTTTTCTAGCTGCTGAGAATCACCGTGATCCCCAAGCCCACTCCTAGCAGCTCAGAATCCCAGCATCTCCGGTCCTGTCCACCGAGGAGGGCAAGTTAAGGCTGGGAGTGCCGGAGCTGAGCCACCCTTGCCCCAGCACGTGCCAACAACCTTCTTGGCCTCATTTATTTCCAGGGGAAATAAAACAATTTTCTCCCCCAAGAGGTCCCTGTCCTGATGAAAAAGTGACAGGACAGGCTTGAAGGAGAAAACACTACTCTGTCACGTGGGTTTCTGGTCTCTTCTGGCTGTTCACGGAAGGTGGCCATGCATACTAAGAAATAAAAACAAAATAAGCTACCAACCAGTTTAGCAACTCCTGTCGCCTTTCATGGGCCGATTTTTGGCACCTGTAGGGAAAAGAGAGTAGGTGGAAGTATCTACTGCTTTTGGGAAGAAATCTCCCTCCAATACAGAGGGTGCTCTTACCAGATAGGATTTTTGCCTGGAAGCTGTTTTTTTTTTCTGGATTTATGTTATCCTGGATACCTACCAACTTTTAAGGTACTCCACTTACTAGTGTTAAAAGGGCAGGAAGAAAAGTTAAAATCAAAGTACATAAATAATAGTTGCCAAAATTTACTAAGCTCTTGCTATGTGTGTGCTAGGTGTTATGCTAAGCATTTTCATGCATTGGTTTGTTTAATCTTTGTTTTCACTTCAAAAGGTAGGCACTACTAATATCTAAATTTTACAGGGAGGTTAAATAACTTGCCTGAGACCATGTAGCTAGGAAGCGGCAGAGCAGAGATTTTTAATTCAGGCAGTATGACGTCAAGGTTGCTATGCATCATGGTGATGCCAATCTGCCTCCATTTTGGAGAGAATCCCAAGTGGGAAACATGAAATACATAGATAATTTGCAGGTCTAATTGTAGCAATTAGATCCATCTTTTTCTATTTCATTTCTGACTTGTAGCTATTCTTATGTTTTATAACAAGATGACACATGGCTTCCCTCTTTTCTCTCTCTGTGATCATAGCTGGGTAGGAAATAAAAAGTGCAAGATCCTGGGGCCAAGCTAAAGAAGAGATGGGGCAGGACTAATGAGTAGGAAGGTGGTGTGGGGAAGCCTGGGATAATCCAAGACCCTATGAGCAGCACATGGATAGCTGAGCTGATGAGCACTTCAGGCTATGACCTCTCTTCCTGGTGTGTCATTCAAACGTGTGTGATGTCATAATACCAACAAAACAGGAAGGGCATCTCCAAATCAGGAGTTCAATGCACCTAGAGTTACACTCATGGATGGAGTCACTGAAGTTGATCCAGCTTCATAGGTGTGTGATTTGAACATTTGCTAAAAAAAAAATGAATTGACTTATGAGCATTAACCCCAAAGATGATAGCAGGCACAGTCTTGTTAGTGAACAGTTTTTTTCAGTTTATAATAAAATTAGGATACTCAGGAGGGGCCCCTATCTTTTCCCAGGTAGAAGCAGGGCCATAGACAAAAGAGTCTTTCTCTTCTCTTTCCTTTCAGAAATGTTTGCTTTTTGAAAATTATGAAATATTACAGCTATCCTGGTACAACAAACCCCACTGTACCTAACCCCACTGTACCCAGTTTAAGAAATGAAGCATTAACATTACAGTTGAAGTTATTTACAAGCCTTGACATGCTGCTGCCCGCCAACTACATATATCCTAGCTGAAATAAATCACTGTCCTGAATTTGCTGTTTCCCACTCTCCATGTTCTTAAATGTTGTACCTGGAATCAATCTTGTTTTTGTTTTGCTTTCTTTTTGCTTGAAAAAATACCAAGTCTCTAAGGTTCTAAGAGAATTGGGAAGGAGGCCTGGACTACAGAAAAGGGAGGACTTCCAAAGTCAGAAATACTTGGAAGAATAAGGTTCCCTGGTTGACGTAGGTCAGCATATGAGGTGGAGTGTGTGTCATTGCACTTTGTAATGACTGGCTGTTTGATGACCTGACTTTGTGGAATCTAATCACAGCTCAGCTCACCTGATTCATCTGTTTCCTCCCTCTTTCTCCATCCTCACATGCTGTTGTGGTGCGGTCATATCCTTGACCATTAGAGGCTAGTTTACTATTTCCTTTCTCAGGACAACCTCCCCATTGAAGCACCTCACTTCCCCTGCCCAAGTGCACACATGGGCACACACACACACACACACACACACACACACACATACACCACTTCAAAACCAAAACACCAGAGACAGTCATTGGTCAATCTTTCCTCCTGGGCCCCTTACAGAGTTGGACTCTCTGCAAAATAGTTGTGGACCCCCATTTGAACCTTTCATGATATTTATTCATTCACGTTACAGTCACATCCTATCAGTGTCTTTCTTTTCCCTCTCCTCTCCAAAGGAAAAATTAAGTTACTTTGAACATATGCTATCACCATCCTTAGGAAACGCTTCTTGACCACTGTGTTCATGTTATTGGGCATGCTACTGTGTGCTGGGGCTCTGAGTGTGACCTCTAAAATATAGGAGTGTGGGAAGGTTTTATTCCTCACCTAGGGGCTAAGGAAGCAAGAGCCTGCTTTAAAAGAAAACACAGCTAGGGAAGGATTCAGATGAGGGTAATTATAATTTGGCTGTAAGATGTGGGACTGATGGGCTAGATTAAGACATCAAATAGATCACAAAGTTCTCACCAATGTGATATTAGTGTTGAGCCTAAAATAATTTGGTGGAAACTAAAGCATGTAATTAAGTGGATTTAGATGAAGGAGTTCTGAAATTACTTAATTATTAAGTAGTTTGGGGGAGTAGGGTTTTTTTTTTCCTTTTTTTATTGAGAGAACTCGTTCTTTGGTCCACCTACCATGGGAATTTGGAGGACTCGGCTGTCCTTTTCCTCCCGGTACTAATGAAAGTTCGAGGGCTGAAATGGTCTAATTAGCATCAGAGAGTTGTATAAGGAACACCAAATTTTAACATGTTCAAAATTGAATTTGTGTTGTCCCTGTCCATACCTCTTGAACCTGTCCTCTCTCCTCTCTGCCCATCCAATCGCATTACCACACCTCTTCTCACCCAGGCTGGATACTGCACGCTTATTCTCCGGTGCCTCCTGTGAGACAGCTCTCCTGTCTGTTTCCAACTCTTCACCCTCCCTATTCTGGCTCCAGACTTCACTGTTGGTGGGATCATGGACCATCAGAGATGGAGGAGACTGCAGAGATGACTTGTTACACCTCTTCCATTTTATAGATGCACATGTGAGTTGTCGCTCCTCTCCTTAAAATCTTTTGGTAGGTCTTCACAGCATTCAAGATGAAATGCAAAATTTCTATTATGACATAAAGAGACCTTCATGAACAGGCCCTGTATGCTTTTCCTCTCATATTTACATTGCTATTCTTTGCTACAGCCACATCTGATTTTTCTGAAACTGCTATACTTTCATGCTTCTAGGCCTTTGCACACGCTGTGCCTCTGCTTGATCCCTTCCCATCCTCGGCCTCCCAGCTTAGTCCCAACCTTCCTTCAGGGTTCAGCTCTAGCACCACCTTCTTTTGGAATAGAATGTTAGGTGCTATTTCACTGTAATTTCTTAACACAATGTGCATATGTAGATTTAACCCCCCAGGATGTAACTGTCCTCTTTCTCACCCTGTCAATTTTGAATTCATGAATGGCACCAAATTTTTTTTTTATGTATTACTCTTCTATTCTATTCTAATAGTTATATATTAGCACCAAAACTGATGATGAACTTTTTGGCAACTGAAGTCCTTTATTTGAGAAACTTCCCCTAAAAAAAATTCATTCTTCGAGATCATGTTGATAGATAATCCATCTACTGCTGCAGGTTTCCTTATTGTTTTTTCCTGAATCTTGTCCTTTGACATACTATTCAACTGCGCATTGTTCTTACAAGTAATGGGCATTGGCTCATTAGGATTGTTTTTAGAGGTTTTTAAACTCTTGATGTCATAATATAGCTATGAGTCTGAGTATCTGTGAGGGTCCTTAGTTGCTGATGCTTTACGTTGTAGTGATTAACGCATATCTAGTAATGTCAAGACTGATTTCCTTTAGCTTTCTTAAAATGCTTCTAACATTCTTCATGTTCTTATTATTATGGATGTCTAAAAATTATTTAACAAATAAGAAATAGCATATTTAATAGTATTTATAAAGATCTGTAGCTGATAACAAATATTCAAATAATATAAATGCCAGGGAACATTACTGGATATTCCATCTGCTTCTCCTAGCAAGTTCCCAACAGCTTTACACGGAATCACTTGTTGAAATTGCCAGTTGGAACACTCGTCATAGAATTTGCACAAAATACACTGTCAGTATAAATTTATTAATATTTATTTAATTTGCTGTAATGACTCACCATTAGCAGTAAGTAGACAGGGCCACAGAACACACACAATATGGCAACAGCTCTAAGCAAGACAGCCTGAATACACTGTAACCACTTGTCTCCTGCTAGTGTCCTGGTTCCCAGAAATGTCAACTTTAACCTTCTACTCCACAATCAGCATTTCCTACTCTTGC